TTTTATGTCAGACTTTATGAAGCAAATACTTTGATCGTTAAATTGCAATTTATACATGATATGGATTGAAATAAAAATTTCAAAGAAAATTAAAACTTTTACACGCCTCTAATACAACTAAAAACAAACCCATTCCTACCACATACATTATGAACTCGTAACTAGTAGTACGTGTAACATATATCTCAAAATTAATCATCATATTTTGTAGGACATCATTCAATGTTCCATCCAATTGCCCAAAATCATCGTTCCAAGAGGAACGGTTCTAATGAAATCCTATTTCTTCCTAAGCAAAATCATCCCAATCGAGTCAGTGAAACGAAAATAACGAAAAGAGGATGTCCAAAGGTTCATCCAATTCTAAGGGTGAAAGCTAGCCCGGCTAATATAAGAATATTATGGATGGAGAAACGGTGATCGTATCGTGGATCAACCTCCCGGAAACAGGGATCGGGCCGCAGTCAGACAGGCCAGATATCTCGGAATGTTTTACACCTCATTAGGCAACAATGTGTTGTTGCCAGGGTGAATTATATCGGGCATGAGACGCCCGTCAAGACAAATGGCTCGAACCGGAGGTAATTGTGGGCTTTTATTAGCTCTGGTTTCTCCTGTTGGCTGCAAATCGCGCAACGCCGACTCGGAGACGCTTAGCCAGCAATACATAGCACCAACTCGGTAACAGCAACCCTTCTCGTCCTCTATTTTCCTCTTCTCCGCGTGTTACCGTCTGTTCCCCGTCTCTTCGTCCCTCCTTTCCCACCATCGTGTAATTACTCGCGTGACAGTAATGTTGGAATGCGAATCTCGTCCCTTAAATGCACGCGAATCATCGCCAACCGGCTTACAGTTAACACGTTGATAATCAACGCCATAGTAATTACAGCGATCATTAATGTCCGTCGCGTAAAATTGTAAGTTCAATATCGTTATTTTATTATTTCTCTGCAATGAAAGATTTCTTAAACACCATTGGGTTGCTATTAGTTTTGGATTGTTTACGTGTGATAGTGAGACGTGGCCATCGATGTTGGCTAAAGTATGCACTGACCGACAAGATTAATGTGGTCAGCGTGTTTCTTGAGATGCTTCGCATACTTGTAAGGTTAATTATGTCCCGATGAAAATTGTTGCGGCCAAAGTGCCGTCTATGACCGGGCCGAAATACTCCTTCCCCTCAATTATTTTCTTCCTCAAAGATACCGGTCTATGGAAGCATTTATTCTTGACTAGATATTATTCCCTTTTGCTGCTTATTTTTTTTCTCAGCGTGCCATGAATTTCTTTCAAATCCAAAATGAATATAATTTCTTATCATTTCTCATCCGCGGATTCTCTTAAAGCTCAGCCCAGAAATCGTAGTATTTTTTCGCGGGGAGGAAACCACGACATTCCAAAAGGTCGCATTTTCGCGAGAAGAGAATCGCTATCCACGCGTTATTACGCCTCTAGGAGGTACAAGCCGCTCGAGGCATATGCGGGCCAAGCTTGTCCCCGTCCCTCTTTCGCTCGTAGTTCCGCCGTGGTTCATGTATTTATGCATTTCCAGCCAACAGCCGCCGCTTCTTGACTATACACACACATACACATAGAGAAATGTGAATTGGGTATTGTACGCTAGACGATTTACATGTATTGCTGCTCGATGATGTGCCGTAAAAGATGGCCCAGAGAGGGATGAGGGTAGCCAAGACGGAGAATTGCTTTTGAATTAGCGACACGAAGTTCCGGTCCTCTTGATCCGACATGCCTTGGCACGGGAATTGGTTTTTTAACCCATTATGAATAATAAAATGGATTATATGAATAACGGTATACATTTGAATTTAATAGTGATGCGCCTGTGATACTCGATTTGCGTTATATCGAAGAATTAAATCATCAATAATATTTACAATTACAAGTTCGTAATTAATTCTGACCTCAGTTATTCCATAACACGAACAATTAATTAACGTAAGCGTATTAATTGAATTTCAATAAAATATGAATCTCTTTTCAGGAGAATGTTCCTGGGTTTCCTTATTCATTATTCGACCGCCATATTTACTCATTGAATTCAATTCGGTTTCACTTATGGTATGATTTACTCGGCGAAGGCGTACCTGAGCACGGTGATGGGAATTTATTGGAGACGAAGGTCCTCCCGAATACGGGAAGGAAAGCATGGACAGAGAGCGGAGATGAAAGAAGAGAGTGCAATAGAAAGGGCAACGGGCAACGAAAGAAGGGAGGAAAATAAAGGGCGAGTCCTTTTCTCATATTCCGTATCCCATATGGTGGCTCGTAAAAGTTCCGAGGGCATCCTTACGAAATTCAGATTTACAGCATCTATTCGTATTTGTTTCCTTATTTCTACACCACGTTTCATTGCTTTTTTTATTTACAAAATTTTGAAAAATGTGCAATGAACACTTATAAACTCATCAAATTGAAAATTTTGTAATTGTAATTATTTTCAAATTATGATGGTTTTAATTACCTTTGGCACTGGAATTCATATAATATAATATTAATAGTACTTAGAATTTTCTTGTAATTTTTTTCAATTATTGGTATTTGACAATTGGTAAAATTATTAATACAAAATTGTTCATATCATTTTTTATCCTTATAAATATTGTAACAAAAAGGCATATAACTTTGTGTTGTTATTGATTGCATGTTACCACTCCAAATCATTCATACAAATTTTAGAATAAAAAAGGATTTTGTCGTTCGAAGGGGTCTTTATGAGCAAGAACGTCTGTCCAGCAGCACGTTGGTGCTTTGAATGGATAGAGCGCTATTTTATTGGAAGGTACTGAATTTTTATTCATCCCCAGCGCAAATAGTGGCCATGTAAAGCCATCCGGCATGGTCGTTCTTTAAAATGCATGCCGCTCTTAAATCAGGAGAACAATAATTGTGTCCACTATGTGGGCACGGTTGATCGGATCTGGAATATTTGTTGCCTTCTTACCCTCTGCCACTACCCTACTCCTATTTATTGAATCTGCTGACTGTCTGATTTTAAGCAGAATAAAAATTCGGTTAACAGAAAGAATTGTTCACTTTTTGGAGTAAAAAAACGAGAAAACTTCTGAATACAAAAACTTATTACAAGTCGAAATGATAAAAGATAAATTTCGAAATTAATTCAGGATAACTTTTGTAAAATTAAAATACGCTTTTTGGAAATTATAGATTATTGAAAAAAAAGGGAAACACTAATCAGATTGAAATGAACAGCAACGTGATCGTAGCACGCGGCAATTTATGCGTGGAATTCTGCTCGATCAACAGGGAGAACGCCACAGACTGAAGTGGTGGCAGAGGGTGAAAGCGAGAGGGAGGACATACCCCCCGCGAACTCGAACATGAATTAAAGTTTTAATTTCTCTAAATCACTGTTCGCCCTCGAGCGCTTTCCACCAGACGGTCCGTTACTTATAGCCTTTGCTCTTTTTACCGCCTTCTTTTTTCCCATTCGCCTCGATCTTACCACCGTCCAACCCTCGCCAATCGGGAGAAATCGATATGCACTTATCCGATGACTCTTGAGACCCCTCTTTCTTTCTTTCTTTTTTTAGATAACTTTCGTAGGCATAACAGCCAGAAATCGTTCGCCTTTGGGGATTCGAATTTTGTGTACCAATGGTGTATGAAATTATTTCAAACCACTTGAAATCATATTTCTATCAAATTAAAATTTCAAAACCAAAGGAAATTGATATTGATTCATTAATATTAAAATCCATAATTCTAAATATATATTCTAAAAATATTCTAAATTTAAAATAGTATTCTAAAAATACTAAATTCATAATTTACCATCGACTCCCTAAAAATAAATGAAAATTACAAATGGCATTGATTTAGCAAATTCGATCAATCAATGTTCTACGTTCTTTTTCAAAGACTAAATTGAAACTAAATTCTTCAACTCATCATTGACTGTTCGAAAATGAATTAGAATCGCGAGTCACATTCGAAGTAACTCTCAGAGCACGATGGTTCCTCCCGTTCCCTCGTGGCGCACGAGAGGGTGAGACAGGGGTTGTTCATTTAAAATCATGACGTCGAGCGTAGGGCGCAGTCACGGCGGAGGCGTTAGTATTAACGTTAGGTGCCAGCAGACCGGGCCACCTACAAGAACTTCGTGCACCCGTTTCACCCCCTTACCACCGGTGACATATTGTTTCCATTCTGCTCTCCGGCTAAAGCGCAATAAAAAACTGGCATAAATATCACCCCCTTGGCGTCCCGCGACACCGATACCACACCGAGCGGTGGCCCGCGACATTGGTTACAAGTAAGAACGTACAGGACCCGGATACCGGCGGTCTACAACTACGTAGAATCGTTTTTTCGTACGCCTAAAACGGCGAGGACTAATTTGTCTGAGTGGCTTTTTCGGCGGTTATAGAAAGGGAACTGAGATCTACCAGCCGTAGAATAATCCTCTTGTATCGTGTGAATTTTCATGCGTTGCGTTTTGAGAATGATGGTGCGTGAAGATGATTCTTTAACCCTTTCGCTGTGGATGTATATTTCTGCACCCTTCTTTATTAAATTAGATAAACTAATTGTAATATTTTATTTTATTTTAAATATAATTTTTTTGCTTGCTATTTTAAAATATAAACGGATGACTATAACAGCCCTTAATAGCGAAAGGGTTAACCTTAGGAAAACGATGCTTTATAGTACTTATTCCTTTCTAACGCTTCTTTCTTTTTTTAAAGTTAATGATAGACTTGTTAGTAATACTATTGTAGAAGAATAACGAAAGAAAACTATTTATTGAATTAGAAATAATATCTTTTCATTATTTTTTAAACCGATGAGCCCAGTATATTGATATCTTATGAAGCACTTAAGTAAGAAAAGTTGCTTCTATTTTAACCTTGTTTAATTACAGTTTTCTATAATTTAATTGCCGAGAATTCAAATGCATTCAAAATTTGCATAAAACTATATTTGTATAAATACAGTTTAAATAGGGATGCACTTACAGCGTGACAGGTTCCTCAGGGCTCGAAGGTGAAATGGAAAGCGACATGGTGGTGGTTAGACATCGTGATGTTCCTGGTGATCTCACACGATCGTCCACCTGCAACAGTAGAAATGCTAAGTTAGTAAGGACAGATTTATTTCATTTTCACCACTGACAACGAGCCTCAACGCCATCCACTTTAACGGGTTTCGCATACAGTGAAATTGAAAAAATAGAGAGGAAACGTTTCTCCGTGCACCTTTTAAATTCTTTGCACGATCCTTGCTGTCGTCGATGGGGAATTGAGCAACAGGTAGAGTAGATATGTCCTCGAGGCATCATGCTCGACAGAGCATACGCGTGATTTACTGTATAAGTGACTCATCGAAACCACCCCTTTTTCTTTTATCTTTTGCCCCACTACTCGAAACGAAACGCGAAGGAAATAATTCTTCTACTTAGACCCCGTTTCGGGAAACAGAATCCCGGAATTTATATCCAAGGGTAGAGTTCTCATCACGATAAATTATCAATTGAAATGCAATAGAAATTTTATCACATTATTATCTCAGGGGTACGTATACAACACTAGTATATTTTATTATTAAGATGTTTAAGGGGTGGTTTCGCATTTAATATAATTCAAATAATTAACTAAATATCAAGAATACTTAGGATACCAAATTCTTTCTTTTCTTAGAAAATAATACTCTATAATTTTGCAAAATTATTATGTTTGGGGTGTTCTATCATTCTGCAAAGTTTGTTACGTCAAAATGCTATTATTATCTGTCAATATTGCAAGGGTTAAAAATCAGTAAATTATTCATTCGTACACCTAATATAATAGTATCAGTGTTAGTTGACAAATTCAGTCGAAATTGAGCTACCAACCCCTCACCGCCCTTCCTGGCAGTTCAAAGAAATATTACAGCCATATTTTTCTTCGGTGAACGATGACTGAAGCTCTCCCGCGATTTCCAAGGGATTAATAATGACGGCAGACCGTTCTACGACAATCGTAGAGAGAAACAAACGCAGCCCCGGGCAAGTGGACCAGACTCGCACCGACATCAATCTGAACGAGCGAGCCGCACCCCTAACGAGCCACCGAGTCATATAAATTTTATTGCCATTTCATAAATCCCGACGACTACCGCGAGTAACCGTTCCAGCCTTTCCAAGCGATTATCAGCAGCGTATAAAGTTGCGGATTCTGATGGATTATAACAGGCTCGACTCTGTTTTTCGCGATGCTTTCAGGGGTGCTTGCGAAAATCGTTATAAAAACGCTCAATGTTGATGGTGATCGAACGTAAGGTAAAATAGAGGATCTTATAATAATTACAATTTGTACTATCAAAAAATAATAATGATTAATTCAAATTATTTTGAAAATCCCCACTACACCCTTCTAACATGTTACCAAAAGACATGAGAGTATATTTTCAACTTAATACGTAGAAATAAATAAATTAAAATACAGCGCACAGAGGAACCGGAGGGATGAAAATGTCGGGATTATGTTTATAATAAATAAGACAGAGGTATGCGTGTGAGAGAAGCAGAAGCACAGTTAATTCAGTTTTATACGACAACACTTCCGATCCGCGGTAAGCCGGCGACAGTCTCGAGTTCCTTCCCTCGAGTTCTCTTCATCTTAACGCAAAGACGAACGAAAACCTGATTTACATTTCTTTCTCTCCTCGCTATAAAAATTCCGCGACGATAACTTCCTTTGTTCCACCCTCTATGGCCGCGGGGGCGAGCAACCCCTGCGGCTTTCCAGCCACAGGGAGTCCCCATAACTCCAACTAGTTTTCGGTTTACATTGCATTTTTTTTCCCCTTTAATTAAAGGCCATACAGATTCAAGTTTGTCCGAAAATGTCATCTACCTTTGAGAATAAAATATGCAAAATTTGATTATTTTATTGGTTAATAAATAACACTATAGTGGCCATATTCTTTTTTTAATTTTAAAATGCATAAGATGGCTGGCATTCACAGTAAACTTAACAAAGATTGTTTTATTCTAGGAAACATTATTCTGCTGATGAGAACTTTCAATTCTCTACACACTTAACCCCCAAGAATATTCTCAATCAAAAGTTCCACGCCTACATTATAATCTCAATTCCACGTAATCCCTCGTCATAAAACGACACGTCGCAGGTGCTCTCCCGGTACGTACCAGTCGGTCAGGACTGTCGATCATCCATTCAGCCGTTGAAATTTCCAGCAACAAGCCTCGCCGAATGGGGAGGGAGAAAGAGGTCCAGATAGGATCGAAATGTAATTAAGAGAGCAAATAATCCGAGCCGAACAAACTCCGTGAAATGGATCAAAGAACTCGACAGGGAGAGAAGGGGGTAGAGGGGTGGGAAATGGAGGGACATGTACCGATAGAGGCGCGTCGTTGAAAGGTAACAGGACGAAACTACGAGCGGCTGCTTCTCCCTGTCGTCGTGCTGTCTAGCCCGAAGGAGTAGGGCAACGAAGGGGGATGGCCCCAGCAAAGACCCTCGATAAATATTTCCGTCAAGTGACCGGGGTTGGAATTCAAAGAGAGCCGAAAGGTGGAATCGAGAGCGAAACGAGTCCATCCTCTCTTCAGCGACGGTTCAAGGGATGGTCGACGAGAACGATGGAAACACGGGGGTGGTAGGGGGTGGCTGGCAGCCAGTATATTTGCGTTACGTTACGTAGTTGCGCGTTTAATCAGCCGTATACCCGGAAAGGGCGCGTGTGAGAGGGAAGAAGTGAAAGAGAAACGGGAGCAAAAGGAACCCGCCTCGACTTCCGGATACCAAAGAAGGACAGGACTAAACAGCGTTTCTACCTTTTGTGAGGGTAAAGAGAGCAGATTCTGTTTACTACCGGACTGTCCTTTGCATCGTACGATTTTTATGGGGCAGCTTGTCGTACGCTTTTCACTCTGTTTTTATTCTCGTTGCTCGCTCCTTTGATGTTTCGTTTAAAGAAATATTTTCTTCATTTTCATAATGGTTTCTTAGTATTTTTATACTTCTAATGATTTATAAGAGGAACTAACGTGAATTTTGTAAAATAAATTCTAATAAACTCAGCTTTCTTATTATTCATTTTCTCAAATTCAATACTTGAAAATAAGAATTCTTAAGTAACATTCTAATAAATTTCATTAAGGAACAAATGATGTAATAGCGTTCTATATTATATTAACAATAAATTTTTCATCTTATAAGATTAGTGATTAAAGGAGCGAAAAGGTAGGCCTCTCAACGGCGAAATGGACTTAGAATTTTACAGATTATTGTTATAATACATCTTAATAAAAGAACGATTTCTTGTCGTACCACGTTTGTAATAGATTCGACGAGTTTTCCTTTCGTATGGGAAAGTAGAGGAAAGGAAGCAAGAGGAAAGAGAAGAGATGGCGCCTACGAGACGTCGATGGCGTGACAGATTGCCTCCAGTATTTTCCACCACATACATCATCGGCATCCGCCAGCCCTTAGTTCTAGTTCAATGCTCACCGCCGTCGTCTCCCTTAATTGGCATCACCTACACCAATCTACCTGCGCTGTCGTACAGAAAATTCCCTACCACAGTTAATTACGATAAATTATATCTGGAGAAACGTTCTTACTAAATGATCGACGAAAAATGATATATCATATACTTTTACTTAGGTGGGCTTGTAAAAATTCTATGTAACTTGTTCTTCTGAGACGAAATAAAATATTTGAGATGATAAAATAATTGTTAAGTATAATCTTAATTACTTAAAAAGAAAAATAATATACTTGCTTTAGAAGAAATTCATTGACACTTTAATTGTTACGAGACGAGACAGTAAATGCGTACAAATTCACGTGCTCAAAGCAGGCTCGGCTCATAGTACACAAACCTCGACCGAAACGTTTGAAGAACTGGAAAGAACTGACTGAGCTTCGGTCGTGCGTTGAGCGCGTGAATTTGTAAACATATCTTGACTCGTCTCGTTGGATGGATTACAGACAGGCAGAAAATAACTGAAGCTAAATCATAGTAAATTATCTAATCATGAATGGAAGTGATTTTCGAATCGAAACTAAAGAAGCGGGTAATGCGGCTCGAGTAATATATCGACAACAAAACGAAGGGTCAGTGACAAACTGCAAACCGCACTTTCATCGTCAGGGATACGATTAGGGAAAAATTCTCGCTGTTTTAATGGGGAGTGAAAATTAAATACCGCGGTGTCCACCCCTTAGGTCCGGCCACCTAATAATTCATACGAGGAATGTAAAAAGGGCAAGCCCTTTTTCCTGCTGCCATCGCGGCGAAGAAGAGCGAGAACGAGAAAGCCAAGGGGTGTAGAAAAATACGAGCTCGTGTTTATCTTGAGATTTGTAGCCGCTCTGTTCTCGATATTTATTGGCCTTCCAGGGACGGGAGATGCCACTGTCTGACGGACCGTTAAATTTTATTATGTTTTTTTCACCGATGCCGAAATAACGCGTCACTGAATATGGCTGGCAACGTCCTCGTAAAGATAAATCCTGATCGTTCGTGGATTGTTGTTTCCTCGTTCGAAAGACATAATGTTTCTATCCATTATCAAATCCTTAGACTGTAGCCTTTAAATGGGTTCAGTGTTAAATGTATAAACTGCAATAAATGTGCAACCCAAAATAAAAAAATGAATTACTTTTTACCTAACTTAATAATTAATTAACTTTTAATTATAAAGAAGTCCTCAGAAAGTTTAGAAATTATCAAAAACAAAATTTGTATATTTTATCTACAGAACGCTTTCTTAATTTTTTTATCACACATATTTTTGAAATTGAGTGACATAATTGTAGCCACTGAGTGGCAGATTTCTGCAGATTTTTCATGAACCTACGAGATGAAGATTTACGAGATTCGAAAGGAGCAGTAACGATAACGAGCCACGTTACCCCAACGAATTCATAAAGAAGGATCTCGAGGATGCGTAGTCCTCGCATAAGGATACACGAACAGCCTAACTGCCTACCAAGGTCATATTTAGGATTAAGGAGACGGTGGTTGCAGCCTCTTCAGGCTGATAATCGTGAAGGTAGTAGAGCCGCGCCGCTAAACCGGGCAGCCCATTATCTTAACAAATCT